AAATAAATAAATAAATAAATAAAGGTCAATCGATAAATACATAATGTATATCAATTGCAGTATATAACAGCCACTCTGCAAAGGCGAAAACATTTGATCACATTCATGTGCGGTTATGAAAATTGGCAGTGTTGTAAATAGTCTAATGCGAATTTTAAATATTCTGAAAAAAAATCAAATTTTCAGTGACCATCCGCAAAAACTTTGGGGTCAAAACATTAAAGATAGAAACATTAATTTTATATTAGACAATAAATTGTCCGACAGAGGGACCCAATACTAAATTAATTGAAAGAGCACTACATCAACACACACACACACACACACACACATGCACACTTTTATCCCTCTCTTTTTAATACTATTCATATTGCAATGCCAAGGTTATAATATTAGCTATTGACTACAAAATATTCGAATGTGACTTTCACATCACAATCGAACGTGCCTAATTAAAAGCGCGCATTTGTTTTATCTATATATCAAGCATCTGTGTTTGTCGCAGCCGCGATTTTTGATTTTGTTGGTCCGCGAATCGCGGCTGCGATTTTTGCATTGTCCAAAAAGAACAGGCTATTTCATAACATAGACGTGTATTTTGATAATTATAAGGTGTCCGTAGGCTTATATAGTTATTTTCACTCGAAGAACATACATGTAAGTACATTTTAAACTACATGTATTTAATGTATTGCTATCTGTCTTATTTTTCTCTTTGTTGGTGTGTTAATTTATTATTTTTTTGTTATTGTTCTGATATAATTTGTGTCTGCGTTTATATAGCGTAATGTCATTTAATTTGATGCTGTTCCTACATTTAAAAAATATTAATGTGTTATATTAGAGGTTTATGTGCTGTTCTAATTTTGATTTCATTCTGTTGTGAAACCTTTATTTTTCACGTTTTTACACTGTGGGGCTACAAATGATATTCTGGATGCTTAAAACAGAGCGCAAGAAATTCTGGTGCTTCAGACTAACTTATTAAGTTACCTCTATCAACATACTTCTACTTCGTCACAGAGAGTTGAAAGCTTGAAAATTAATGGTAACTTTGACGGCAACTTTTGCCATTTTTTGTGGCAATTTTTGGCAACTTTTGGACAAAAAATGGCAACAAACGCAACTGTTAGCTATATGTGTCTAAATCTATCTAATCTATCTGTCTGTCTGTCTGTCTGTCTGTCAGTCTGTCTGTCTGTCTGTCTGTCTGTCTGTCTGTCTGTCTGTCTGTCTGTCTGTCTGTCTGTCTGTCTGTCTGTCTGT